TCAATAATTATACATATACATTTTCGAACAGGTGTACAATACAAATATGGCAGACATAGAACTCTTATCTGATTAGTTTGCTCTCCTTGTATGTTTGATGCCTTTTTTTTTGTTCTTTTCTTCTCTTTCTCTCTCTCTTTATTTATCGGACAGCTCATAAAATTCAAAACATGAAAAAAAAAAAATAAGTGGAAATAATCATCAATGGTATTTGTTTTTTTTCTTCTTCTTCTTGTTGCTCTCTGTGGTTACATTATTGAAAATGTCCTTGATCAATTGATCGACAATAACACTATGGGATTATTATTATTTTTTCTACTTGCAGTTACTTCTTTTTTTTTTTTGATTATACGTGTGTGTGTGTGTATGTGTTTGCAGGATAATATGGTATTGATGAATATGTTCGCTTTATTGACGCGTTAATTTCTTCATGATCAATAACTTAGCATACAGAGAAAAACAAGTATGACAGATTCTCTGCAGGTGATGCTGTCTATAGACATTTTCTTATGTTATTTCGCCTACGATGCATATCTCTCCAGTTTATATTATCATTACACTAATTGTGACTGCCTGTTGACTAGAAGACATTTTTTTTCGATTATACATAAAACAAAAATAGATACTATAAATAATGATGTTTTAATCACAAAAAAAAGAAAAACATAAGAGGAGATGCTGAACAATAATTATTTTACACACACTTGTTTAATTGATTTTTTAATTCAATTATGATAAATATTAATCTTTTCTTCTTTTAAAAAAGTAGGAATATATTCAAAATAGTTTATATAAAATTTTATAATATCGTGACAATCATTAGTATTGTATGATTGGTTTATTTCCTTAAATTATAAATAATTATAGGTTTTTTTTTGTTTTTTGTTGTTGTTGTTGTTGTTGTTCTTGATTAGTACTATAATAGTTATCACGCGTAGTTTCAAGCTAATATTCGAAAGCAATATATATATATATATATAGAACTTGCAAGACCTAATGATAATAGATTGTGTCGAAATCTTTTCATCAAAAGTAATCTGTTATATTTTAGTAAGAGTCGACAGATAAATTAATCAGTACTGACCCTATTTTGGCAAGAAAATATGTCAGTAATTCTATAAATAATTATCTAAAAAAATAATATAGTAATCAACTAGTTTTTAAAACAATAATTTAACTATATAGATTTTATATTCTAACAAAAAAAAAATTATTTATTTTTATCTATTAAAATATGTTTATTGCTAATGTGAAATGATCCATATTATAACAATTAAATTAAACAATCAGATTTCATGCTTAATTTCCTTTACACAAACAATTTCTACCTTGAATAATATAAGCTTACAGTTAGTACAGAACTGAAAGAATAAACAAGATAAAGTACATCCATCGTTCTATAGAAATACAACTTCTATATGTACTATACTAAACTAGTATATAACAATGTTAGTAATATATAATAATAAATAAGTATTCTGAATATAGCGAAAATTAAAAATATAACAAATAAAATTCAATAGACTACAATTATATAATTCAATGAATAGTATTAGTATTATTTTTGTGCAATGAATTATTAAGTTTTCAATAAAACAAAACAAAACAAAAAACCAATAATAAGCCATTATTATACAGCGCTCGAAAGACTCTATTGATTATATATAATACGATGTTTTCTAATATGCATTCTAATGATTAAGCAGCAAGCGATAGCTTTGGGAAAAGCGACACTTTTTTTTTTTTTTTTCATAGAATTACTCATTGTCGTATTATTATTCTAGAACGTTCGAATACAGTCAAAGGAAAAAAACGATTTTTGTTTTTCTTTTGTATTTGTAAACAGTCGAACAGGATGTTTGTACTATTAAACAAATCTAAAATTATAGTTAATATAGAGTGTAATTATATAGTTAGAAATCTTACAAATGGTTGTTTACTAACTTAAAAGTAACCTTAGAAAGATAAAAATAATTTTACTATTGAAATACATTGAACAATGAATTTTCTTCGTATATGATATCATGAAATAATAAAATGAACAAATTAGAAATCAAGAGACATTATAATTACATTCAAAATATTTTTTATTTTCAATATAAAAAATTGAAAATTATTTATTTATTCTTGATTTTTATTCTTAATTTACTCTACATATATTTTTATTTCTATGAATATTATTACTCTTCTCTTATTTGTAACAGTCAATTTGTGAGTAATCGAAGCAGAATATAACGTACAAAAGTATAATTAACTAGTCAGCCATAATAAATCGAACTACATGTAGATATAATTTTCCAGTCATTTTAACTCATTCATATACCAAAACTATAATGTGCTTCTCAAAATATATATAACTATATATTTTCAAATATATTTCAATATACTGAAAAATTCTTTGTAATATAAATATAAAATGAAAATACAACTAATAGATAGAATTAATGTATATTCTTTGTTGTCTTGACTTCTGTGTTCTCATGATGGGATATTTTCAACTGATCAATTTGCTTTTTCATAAATGGAAACTAGTAAATTATAAATTATTGATCATACTGATTTTCTAGATTTTTCATATATCCAGATTGTAGAGTATATCGATTTGTCTAGAAAATAGTAACTTTTTGTATTATTATTATAAATCATTTTTTATTTGAATTCATATAACAGATACATATCAATATTTTCTTGTGAAAATCTTCAAGATGATATCATTATTACTTTTTTTTTACAGAATAGAATAGATTATTGACTTATAGACAACTTGCGATATGTTCTATAATCTGAATAGATCAAAAACGAGATCATCAAAATGTTTGTTCGTCTGGAAAAGCAGCATATAAAGTCCTAAGGGAATTTCTCATAATTAATAACTTACAATCTATTAGTTGTTGTTAAAAAATCGATTATTCAGTTGAAAACATTTTCTCGTTAGATGATTGAATTTTTCTTTCTTAATTGAAAAATCAAACTTTCCTTTTTTTGAGTTACAACAACTCATTATCTTTTTTAGTTTTGAAATCAAAAAGAAAAAAAAAACTTGGATAAATTTAACATATAGGACTGAATAGTAAAGAGTTATCTTAAGTGCATCGAGCCTACCATACTGATGCAGTAATAGTTTATAGAAAAAAATTTATTGCGTGACTCAATTATTTGCGCAATTGTGGAAAGATAAAAGATTTTTTTTTTGCTTCAATGTATGGGTATAACTCGTAAAAATTTAACGGCGCCATTCTTCATATATTAATATACCTTGATATATTCTATATTATGCATCACCTATGATCGACATGCGTATATATATATATTATATGTAAAGATCAAACGAAGTAAGAACTACTAGTATGAATATTGTCATTCAGAGAAACTTTAACAAATTAATAGTATAATTTTTTTTGATTTAATTATATTTCGAATTGTATATGCATTCTACTCATAAATTATTCAATACAAAGATAGAAGAGAACAAAAGAATGCGAACAATAAGATAAAACATGCCACACAAAATAATTATAGATACACCTTGTTAGAAAAATTCTTTGATATAGTTGTGAATAGTAAAAGTATTTATATTTTTAACTGACACATATCATTTGAATGACCCGGATCAAAAATACTATCATTTGGTACAAGATCAAATTATGCATTTGACATAGACACACAAAATAAAACAAAGACAAGTCATGCAACAAAGTCAAACAAGAAAAGGTCGTATACGATACTAATTTAAGCTGTGTCAGACATATTAACATTTTGTTTTTTTGTTTTTTTTTGTAACGTCGAAATAAAGTTAAATCTTAAACTAATCGATACATTTTTCGTGACATAATTTCAAACATAAAATCTATTTCCTTTTTCTTAGCAACGAAGAATAAAAAATGTAATTAATGTAGATGAAGTATTTTTTCATTCATGATAAAATATGATGCATGCATATGCATATAATTTAACATTTACTTTAGAAATAAACACGCCAATCTTTCATGTATAATATTAATAGACCTGGAAATTTACTAGTTGTTAATTGAAGAAAATAATTTCGAAATAAAAAAAAGTTTCTCATATATGTTAATTTCAAGCATTTAACATGAAGAAAAAAAAATATATATCTTTATTTAATGTGTATCATTTAATACTAATAAGCCTTATGTAGACATAATTTATTGTTTTTATATTAATTAAAATCATCGAATTATTCTTTTTGCAAAAAAAAAAAAATATTATCATGCATTCTGAGCAAACCTATTTAGTTAATAATGATTGATGAAAAAAAACAAGTAATTAAGATTAATCGTCCATGACTTGGCGTTTTTTCGTCATATGAAATAGAAAAAGGTCAATGTTATTAATCATCAATTAAGAAAAAAACAACTTTATCGTTTATAACATTTTCTTTAAGCTTCTTTTTTTTTTTTTTGTTTTTTTTTGTCGAAAATTTACGCGACAATTATCAATCAATTATGTTCACTTTTTTTGTATGAAACATTCTTACTACTACCGAAAGTATGTGTAAATATTCTCTTAAATAGAAGATTTATCTAAATAAATGACAATTATCTATATGGAATATAGAAACGATGCGCATGCGTTGTCATTTTCTTGGTTTTTTTTTTTTGTCATATATATCGTCATTTCATCTCATAGAACAATGTATAGAGACACACGCAAAACAAAAGAAAGCAAAATACAACACGCACAAAGAAATTAATGTGAAAGACTGATGGTGCAAAAAAACTGCACCTGATAGTTTTTTTTTTTCTGTGCTAATAGAACATACAAAAAAAAAAAAAAAAAAAAAAAAAAAGAAAAAAAAAAAAGAAAAAACAAAGTACATATAAAAAGTAATTGATCGTTGAGTGTCTCAGTCTTTTTTTTTTTTTTTTTTTTCCTTTCTTCTTTTTAAAATTAAAAAAACAAAAAAAAACACGAAGAAGTAGAAACAAATTGATCAATATTGGAAATAAGCAAAAAAAACCAAAAAATAGAAATTCATATCATCACCGAGACGGATGTATTGTAGATGAAGATGTATTATGTAATGAATAATCTAATGGATTTGTTGTTGATAAATTTAATAAATTTTCATTAGGTGATGTTAAAGAATTAACTATTGTTGTTGTTGTTGATAATTTTGTATCATTAATTATACCATTTGTATGATAATGATATAAAGTTTTTTGATAATCATTTAATAATGTATTTGAATCATTTGTTATGCTTGTTGTTGATGATGAAGGAGATGATTTTGTTGTTGATAAACGTCGTGAATCAAGAATATTTTTTACAGTTGAATCACTGGTACTACTATTTGAATTTGTTTTACTACTGTTCAAACTAATAATAAAAATAAAATAAAAATAAAAACAAAATTTTTTTTTTTAATACCGATTTGATGTTAAATCTTTATCAATAAATGTTTGTTGTTGCATATAAGGACCATATTGTTGTAAAAGCATTTGTGTTGTTGTCCATGTTGAATTAGAAATTAATGTTTGATCATTTTCATCAAATTTTCCATTAGTTGCTGTTAATAAATTTATTGTTGATGGTGATTTTTGTTCATTTTCATTTGTTGTTGTTGTTGTTATTGATTCTTCATCTGATATATCAGAATAAGCTGGTGATGATGATATTATTGGTAAAGTTTGAATAGTTGATGTTAAATTATTTATTGGAACAAATGATGATGATGATGGTGGTGGTGGTGTAGGAATTTTTACAGATTTTTTATTAGTATGAGTTTGATCAATTTTTAAATTTGTCCATGATGATGATTCATCTTGCATATGTAATAAAAAATGATCAGTTGATTTTAATGTAGATTTTATTTCATCTTGATCAGTATTTATTTCATTATTATTAAGAATACATCTAAATTGATATTAGAAAAATTTCTTAAAATAGAAAAATATTAGAAATTATAATATTTATGATCTCGAGATTTGATCGTCATAAGCTATTACATTATTTTGACAGTAAAATTAATCGGATTTTTTTTTCTACCCCCTCTCGTAAACTACAGAGTTGTCAATTATATAAACGTTCAGAATAGATGAAGTATTAGAAAATTTGAAAAAAAAAAAAAAGGTAATGAATCTTCAAAAGTGGAAAGAATATTATGAATCATGCAAGATTATGTCTGGAGTTTATTGACATTAATAGAAAATCAAATGACATTTCTTTATATTACTATACGTGAAAATAGAAATATGATAGTCGAGAACTAAAACAAATGATGTTACTTCTTATAAACTAAACATTTATTAATGATCTCAAAATAAAAAGCCATGACCTTCTAGATATTCATATTGTTCTTATGAAGATGATCTTTAAGATTCTTTTTAGAAAATAAAATCCTATAGGATAATCTCAGAAAATTCTGTTTATCTCCTAGAGCTCTAATATTCCAAGTAAGTATTATTAGTAACTATCTGCCGGCAAACGACGTTTTTCTTTTTTTTTTTGGTGTGTGTGTGTTCTATTTTCTTCCCAATATCTGTTATATTTCCGAAAAACTCATTACATCTTATGAATGGCCTTCTATATTCTATAGGGAGAAATAGTTTAATCTTTCTTGTTATATTTCATTTCGATAAGCGAATACTTTGTCGTTTTCTTTTGGCTTAAAATCTCGGATTTCCTTAATGCGTGATAGTGTTTTTTTTTCTTTTCTTCTCTTCTCTTCTTTCTATTAAGACAACAAACCTCGTTGGATTTGTTGATAAATGAATAGATATTTGTTCATTATTATTTAATGGTGATGATCGAACAAGATTTGATGAAATTTGTGGACATGGCCATGTTAATGTTGTTTGACGTTGATGTTCAGGTGATGGTCGTCGTACATAATCAGCAACATTAGCAAGAATATGTGCAACATCTTCTTCATCACGTGTATTAGCTTGTTGTATTGATATTGTTGATGATGATGATGATGATGATAATGAATCAATTTTTTTATGTGCATTACTTAAATGATATTGTAATGCTATATTTGATATAAATTGTTTATGACATTGTAATTCAGGACATGATATTAATTGTATATCATTATTAGTTGATGAAATATATGGTGATATTATTGATGATGAATTATTTATTGTTGATAAATCATCAATTGTATTTAATTGTAAACGTTTTGATTGTCGAGATTTAATATTATTACGTAGTTTACGATCATCACATCCTGTATTAAATGTATTTGATGATAATTGTTGAAATGATGATGATATTGTTTGATAATTTGAATATCGATTATTTCCACTTATATTCGAACGTTTTGCACGACTAGTTTTACTACTATTACGAACATCATAATCACTAGTCGGTGATTCACATGTTAATCTATATTAAAATAATAAAAAGTATTAACATTTGTTTTGTTTTTTTTTTGTGTTCTCTTTTTCTTTTACCTCGGACAAGCCCAATCTTGTTTAGTTGAATCTAATAATGTACCTACATAAGTTTTTCCTCGCCATGTTACATTTACAACAAGTACACCTGGATAAATTAAAACATAAAAGAAAAAAAAAAAAAACCTTAAATAATTATATTTGATAAAAATTTTTAAAAATTCATTATCAAAAGATTTTTTTTTTTTTCTTATTTTATTGACAAGGTCAATCCTTGAAAAAACAACCTATACACTTTACATACAGGTGAGATAGGTAAAATTAATCTATTGCAAATAGAAAATGAGAAGTTTTACTTATAATAAACAATTGATGCGTATCAACGTATATGATTAATTGATTTTGTATCTTACATACATACATACATATATACAGAACTATTAGTTGAGCCGGAAAATAGAAATATGCCGATGGGCATAGAGTATCTTGACGAGGAAAAAAAGCTTCCATCCATCATCAAAAGACATGATGATAAGATTGCACACACACACACTTATTCATCGAGAAAAAATACGACATGTCTTACGTTGTTCTGTGACAACATGCCATATGACAGAAAACGGGGAAACACTTGCATGTAAAAAGAAGAAGAAAAAAAAAAGGAAGAAACTTCATTCGTTCTCTTTCATCCTTGTCATCAATAAAGCACATATATATATATATATAAATACATAAAAAACAGTGGGAGCATCTGTTTAGGTTTGATTATTTATGACCGATGTTACAGAGCATATATTCATATGTGTACGATTATGATTATTATTATTTTTATTATGATGATCTAGGAAAAAGAAAAATACTATTGTGATTGCTTACCACTGTCAGTTTCATTCCAAACGATGCCTTCTAAAATCACGCTGGTACCCTAATAGAAAAAAAGAAAAACAAAGAATATTATCAAGGAAATGAGATTTAACGAAAACAAAAAAAAAAAAAGAAACAGACATACAGGCTCACAGGGACCAAGTTGATCAGGCTCAGTAGCCAAACCAATAGAGACTGTTTCAACACTAGCATCCACTTTAGTTGTTGTTGTTGTTGATGATTGCTTAAGAAAAAAAAAATAATAATAAACTTTTTCTTTTCTTTTCTTTTTTTTTTATTGTCGTATTTTTAATTTCATCATAATAAGTAATGAAAATAAATTTAGAAGAAAAAAAAAAAAAATATTCTTTTCAACTTACATTTAAATCATCTTGTTTAAATCGTTTTTTTGATGATAGATCATCAATATTTGGATTTAAATCATTATTATTATTATCAATTGTTACAGAACGTTTTGTTGCTTGTTGTTGTTGTTGTTGTTTACTATTAAATGCAGGTGAAGATGATCGACGTGTTGTTTGATTTGTAATAGGACGTTTTAAACGTTGATTATGTGTTGTTGTTGTTGTTGTTAAACGAGAATTATTATTTTTAGTATCGTCGTTAGCCATTGATAATGAAGTTGAACTATGATTGATTTGTTGTTTTGTCGTTTGACGTTTTATTTTAAGTATAAGCGGTGATGATGATAGATTATTATTAACATCATTTGAATTTGATTGTTGTTGTTGTTTTTGTTTTTGTTGGATTTTAGACGTTATTGTTGTTGGACGTTGTTCAATTAGAAGATTCATCGCTTGACAAGCCACCTCATACTGTTGTATTATTTTATTGAGTTATGATATTTATGTTTGAATGTATATAAGGTATTCCTATTCAAAAGAAAGAACAATAACAAAATGCACATAGGAAAGAGAGAGAGAGAAAAAAAAGAAAATAACGCACGTATTGACAATTAAGGACGGGTCCGGATTAGAAGAAAGTCATATGCCTATTACTATTACTGCTGCTGTTGACTGCTGCTACTGCTGCTTCTACGATTTATTCCGTTCCCTTCTCTTTCTGTTTTTTTTCCTTCTCGTGTAACGGGTCAGTCTATTTCACATTTGTGAAGAACAAAGAAAATATTAACATGACGAGAAAAAGAAAAAAAAAAAAAGAAGAAGAAAAGAAGACCCTTTGTCGTTCTGCATATATATATATTCTCTTTTAGGGTGTGCATTTTGCTTTCGGAGAGTGATGATTACCGTATCGTTTTTTTTTTTCTTTTTTTTTTTCTTTCTTTATCGTCTCTAGAGAGAAATGAATGTGCCGATGCAGAAAAGATATTATTCTCTTCCTTTCTTTTCTATCGTTCGTTCGGTCGCGTCCGAAGAACGAGAGAGAGAGAGAGAGAGAGAGAGAAGAAAAGTGTAGGCTCTCACTTGCCTTCCTAATGCCTATCTTCTTCTGCATTTTTATATGTTGTTGCAAGAGTTTTAGGCTGACACACGTTCTTTACTCGTTCGTTTTTCTTTTCTTTTCTTATATTCTTTACTAACATGCAAGCGGATTCGTGGCTTACAAATGCTATTACTCTTGCTTTTCTTTGCTTTCTCATCAACTCATTTCCATTTTCACTATTATTCTTGTCGACAAGATGTTTTAGATTATGTTGACAAATTTGTAGTTATACTAACTACAAGAAATCTATATTTGTATATAGATATATATACCTATAATCAGAGTTGCACTTGAATCGTTTTGCTATTTGTCTCATTCTCTCTTTCATTTAATATATATATATATATTTTTTTTTTCTTTTCAAGAGATTCTTGAAATCTATTGAGAACGAAGCCTTGTTTTTTTTTCAATTGACGTCTCGATTTATTTTTCTTTTTTTTTCTTTTTGTATTTCAATAGTTTATAACAAGAAAGAAAGAAATGAATCTAATACTATTTCCTATCTTGTCGTTGTCTCAATCTGTGTACAATGTAAATATGTCTATTAATCGTAATGGCAATGGTCTCATATGGCAATAATAATGATGTTTTTGAATCTTTACATTTGCTTCTTCTTTCTATGTACATAAGAAAATAAACGAAGTAATATATTCTATTTATATAACCTTTTTCTTTTTTCTTCTTTTTTAAACAATCTTATGAACTTTTAAATTTTCTTTTTTTTGTTTTTTGATTATATTATTATAACTGAAATCATAATTATTTTTCTTTTAGTTACTATTTCAAATAAAAAAAAAAAAAAAAAAGTAAAACAAAACATTGATTTTAATAGAAATAAAAACGGAAATTTTATAATGACAGGAAACTGCAATGATGAATAGATATGCATCACCTCCTCATTGACTAAAGAGAATGAATAATAACAATTGACTTGACTTGCTTGATAGAATATATAAAAGAAGAAGAAAAAAAAAAGAATTCTATCCACTTGAATTAACAATGATGACATGAGAAAATTTCCATGTTATTAAAAGAAAAGAATGAATTATTATTAATCTTTTTTTTTTTTTCTTCTCTTGTTCATTATCATTTATAAAAATGACATTAGAGATCAAATAATACATCTGAAATCGATATACATTCTTTATTTTGTTGTCATTATATAAATATTTCTTTTTTTTTGTTTTGTTTTTGTTTTTCTTATTGTTTGTCTGATGATGATACATTAATAATAGTGGTAATAGTAAACGAAAGAAAGAGAGAAAGAAAAAAAAAAGAATTTACATGAGAGTTGTATATGTCTCTTTGGGAATATCGAACATTCGACTAGAATATATAAACTGAATGAAAGAATATATATATACACAAAAACAATAAGAAGAATAACAAAAAAAGAAGAAGAAGAGGACCCATTGTTTTTTTTACTAGACATCAGAGCACCTTGTCATACATGTTATATAAAAGAGAGACAAAAAAAAGAAATAAATGAGTATCTGAACAAACACACATATATATATATATATATAAATACAAATTAATGTAATGATTTTGATAATGAAGAATAATTTGATGTATTTAAATAAACTTGTGTAGGAATTGTATGTGATGTTGAAGATAATTTATTAAATGATCCTAAATTAAATGAATTTGTTGAATATAACATATCATTAGTAAAATGATATGGTATTAATTTATCATTTGATGTTTGTTGAATAATTGTATTTGTTTTATTTTCTTCAATATTCATTAATAATTTTGAATTTGATAAATCAATTGGTATTGTTGTATGATTTTCAATATTATTTGTTAATAATGGACTTGATGATGTTGTACTTGTACCACTTGTTAAAGGACTTATACTATGACTTGAATAATTATCACCTAAATCTTCATCAATATTAATAGTTAAATTTTTTATAAGAGTTTTTTCTTCATTTATTTCATCATCATCATTATGATTAGTATTTGATGATGATGATGGTATAATAAATTTTTCAATTATTTTTCTATTATCATCGATTTTTGTTGGTGGTATTTCAGGCATTTTAAATGAATTTATTTTTGTTGTTGAATTTGGTATTACTGTTGTTGTTGAACATCGACGTTTACCATTACGTAAAATACGTTCAGTTGTTTCATATGTTGAATTTAATTGATGATCACGATTATGATTTTGTTTTATTGTTGAACGTATATCTGATTTATATCTATTATAAACAAGATATTAAAAAAAAAAACAAAATTTTCATTATTAATATACCGTGGTGGTGCCCAATTTTGTTCAGTTGTATTTAATAATGCACCAACATAAGTTTTACCTATCCAAAAAAAAAAACAATAATATCAATATATATAATTGATAAAATAATTTACCACGCCAAGTAATATTAACGACAAGTACACCTAATTAAATAACATAATAAAATAAAAAAATAGAAAATATTATTTATTTTTACCTTTATCAGTTTCATTCCAAACAATACCTTGTAAAACAACATTTGTACCTGGTTCACATGAACCAAATGAAGTTTCATCTGTTGATGATGATTGATCATTTGTTTTTAAATTTAATGTTTTCTTATTATTATTATTTAATTCATCCTTTAGTTTAGTCATACGTTGTTTTTTCTTAAAATAAATACAAAAAAAAAACAACAAAGTATTTAAATAAATCAATTGACAGATTTACACAATTATTCTATCTCATTAAGATAAGTATTTGTCGAACGACAAATAGCAGACAAACATAGAACAGGACAAGAAAAAAAAAAAAGAAATAAAGCAGCTGCAAGAGTGTGTGTGTGTGTATATATTCACAAAGAAAAGTAAATAGGCACAACATACACACGCACACATCAAGATATCATTATCCCTCGGGGATGCCGCGTATGTGAAAAAGAAATAAAGATTGAATTTCCTTTCTATCTTTTGCGCTTCAATAGTCTTTATATATATATATATATATTACCTTTTTCTTTGAAACTAGTTGTTCTTTATTAATATTGTCATTATTTATATCATTAATAACATTTGATTTACGTTTACGTGATGATGTTTTTGTTGTTTTAACTTTAAATTCAACAGTTGTCGTTGTTGTTGTTGTTGTCAATAAAGTTGTATCATTTTCATTATTATTATTATTAGTATTTGATACTAAAATTTCTTGTTTCATTATATTATTACAATCAATAGAATTTTTTTCTTGTTGATAATGATTATTATTATTATTATTAATATCTTCAAATTTTTCTGTTGTTGAATTTATTAATAAATCATTATTTTTATTACGTGGTATTGAAAATCGTAGACGTTTATTAGAATTTGAATGTAATGGTGGTGAATTGATCATCATTATATAAGATTAAAAAAACACAGATGTCATCTAGAATATAAAAAAAAAAAGAAAAACATATCATCATAAACAAAAAAGGATAAATTCTCAAATAAAAAAATCAGCAGCTGGACTTTTCATGCTGATTCGCATACATCTATATATATATAGTACACAAATGATTGCCTTTGCTTTCTCGTCTCTCTCTCTCTCTCTCTTCTCGTTTCTTTCGCCGCCATTACCGCACTAGAATAGCCACTTCACGCACACACACACACACTTTTCTGCTCTCCTTTTTTTTCCTTCAACACAAACATAATTTATAGATCTACTCGCCCTTTGCGCTCTCTTTCTTTCTCTTATACGTATTTAACGCTTGTCGAACACTTGAGTGTATACAATTACAAATTCGCTAGACCTTTATGTCGTTCATCATGTGATAGTATACATATACGATGAACTTACCTCCTCCTCCTTCTTCTTCTTCTTCGTCTTCTATTCTCTCCTTCATTCATTTACTGCAATCAATTCTTACACACACATATATATATATAACTAATATTAAAAAAGAAAAAATCATCAAACGACGCGAATGATTAGAATAACAATTGACATCAAGTGGGAGTATACGATAGGACACAGTGACTAGGAATTCACTTAATATGAAAGAATGAACAAATGAGAAAAAAACGTCCCCCCCCTTCTCCCTTTCTATTCTTTTTTTCTTCTTCTTTAGTCTCGATTAGTAAATTCTATTGTTAAAAGGCATAGTGTCGCAACTTCGTTATTAGTAGACATCGAACAAATATTGAATTTCAATCTTATCCTTTACTATTACATATAAGATACAACAAGTATTACTCTTTTCATACTAAACTTTTTACTTATGAATATATATATATATATATTCATATGAAAAAAAAATAAATAACGAATATCTATATGTCAGCAAATAAATAACAACCCTGTATATACAAATCAAGGTGAAATATATGATCGATGTTGTCATTTGAACGACAA